AGAGAATAATGAATTTCTATTATTCCCATTTTAAAGGTATGGGATTGAGCCTCATTGGAGTTAAGAAATCTGGCTGAGGTTACACAAAGGAGGAAAAGCAATACGATAGTACAATTCACTCCAAGTACGCAAGACTGGTCTAATATTTGAAAATTAATTAATGTAATAATCACATAGATAAACTAAAGAAGAAAAATCATATCATAATATCAATAAATGCAGAATAAACATTTGACAAACTCAACACTCGTTTATAATAAAAACTCTCTGTCTTGGAATACAGGGGGATTTCTTTCACTTGATAGATAACACCTACAAAAAATTAGTATCATACTTATGATGAGAAACTAGATGCTTTCCTGCTAAGATCAGAGGGAGGCAAAGATGTCCCCTGCTACTACTTTTCTTTTTCCAGCATTGGACTCAAAGTTCTAGCTAATGTAATAAGATAAGAAAAAAAAGTACACACACTGACGAAGAAGAAATAAAACTATCTTTATTTGTAGATGATATGATTTCTATATAGAAAATTCAAGAGAATCAGCAAAGAAACTCCTGGAACTAGTAAGTGATTATAGCATGACTGCTGAATACAAAGTTAATCCATAAAAGTTAAAAACAAAAATTAGATGACCTTGTGTATGGTCATAAAGTTGTAGCTACAACACTAAACCATGGTACATAAAAGAAGGAATTGATAAACTGAACTTCTTTAAAATTTGAAACTTCTACTCTACAAAAGACAATGTAAAGAAATGAGAGAATGAGCTATAGGCTGGAGAAAACATTTCCAAAACACACATCTCATAAAGGACTATTGTCCAAAACATACCAAAAAACTCTTAAAACCCAACAATAAAGAAAAAAAAAAAAACAGCTTAAAAACAAACAAAAGACCTGAATATATACCTTATCGAAGAAGATATACACATGGAATATAAACATATGAAAAGATCATCTGATATCATATGTGGTCAGAAAATGATGAATTAAAACAATGAGATACCACTACACACCTATTAGAATGGCCAAAATTCACACCACTGATGGCAAGGGTTGGAAGAAATGTGGGGCAACAGAAACTCTCATTCTTAGTTGGAGGAATGCAAAATGGTAGTCCTTTTGAAAGACAGTTCGGCGTTTTTTTCACAAATTTAAATATACTCTTGCCATATGATTCAGCAATTGTGCTCCATGGTATCTACCCAAAGGGAATGAGAATCTACATCCACACAAAAACTGTCACACGAATGTTTATAGCAGCTTTATTCATAACTGACCAAATTTGAAAACAAACAAGATATCCTTCGGGAAGTAAATGGGTAAATAAACTGTGCATCTTGACAATGGAATATTATTCAGTGCTAAAAAGAAATGTCGTGAACAGACAGGGTGAAAATTTGAGTGCATATCACTAAGTGAAAGAAACCAATCTGAAAAGGCTACATACTGTATTATTCCAACGAAATGACATTCTGAAAAAAGCAAAACTATGGAGAAAGATCAGTGGTTGCCAAAGGGAGGGAAGTGGGTAGGTGTGAGTAGGTGGGGCACGATGAATTATCAAGGCAGTGACAATACTGTATTTGATAGTGTGATGGTGGAGATGCATCATTAACTCGTTTGTCCAAACCCATAGAATGTATAATACTACAAGTGAACCCTAACATAAGCTACGGACTCAGTGACAACCATGGGCCGGCATAGGCCCACTACCTGTACGAAGTGTTCCACTCTGGCGTGGGATGTTGACAGGAGGCCCTCTGCATGAGTGAAACAGGGTATATGGGGACTCTCTGTAACTTCCTTTCTATGTGAACCTGAAACTATGAGCTAAAATTCTAAAAAAATATGTCTTTAATTTTAAAATGAAAATAAAATAAAAGGAACATTGACTTCTACTTCTCAAGCATGAACCTGAGATTATCAACAAAAGTAATAGAACTTTGTCCCATTTGATAGCCTTCGCTTTGTTTACAATCATTTTCTTTAAAAAAAGAAAAGAAGGGACCAGCAGTTAGTGTAATGGCTTTGTCACTGGATTCCCACAGTCGTAGTCGACCGTGGTTCGAGTCCTGGACCCAGTGGCTTAAACTCATGCCAGGTGCATGTGTGTGCATGCCCAAGATCCCGAGAGGAGAATGGAGGAGAAGGGATTGTGGCATGGCCATCCCCCCTGGGGGGGGTGATTTCTCGCTTTCTGTCTCTCTATCTCTGTCTTTCTGGTGAGCGCACGCACCCTATAGCAAAAACCTCTCCAAAAGAAAGGAAGGAAGGAAGGAAGGAAGGAAGGAAGGAAGGGAGGGAGGGAGGAAAAGAAAAGAAAAGAAAAGAAAATCTTTCTGAAAAAAGAACCTAAAACGGTAAAAATTCTCACCCCTTCCCTTTGGAAATCACTTCTATGAAGATGAGAGCAACAACAAACAAACAAAAATTGAACGTAAAAAAAAAGAAGAAGAAGAAAACAAAACAGAAAGTCAAAACAAAGAACTGGATATACAAAGAGGAAGTCTGAACCTTTCTTAATTGTGTCTTTAAGAAATCCATGGGGAGGGGCCAGCAGATGGCATAGTGGTTTCACGGATGGTCTCCCACATGGCTGACTGTAGTTCGAGTCCCAGACTCAGTGGTTTTTAAATCGTGCTGGGCACGTGTGTGAAAATACCCATGACCCCAGGAGAAGAATGAGGAGAAGGGATTTCAGTGTGGCCATCCCCCCTTGGGGGTGGGGGGGTGATTTCTCATTTTCTGTCTCTCTGTCTTTCTCTATCTTTCTGGTGAGCACACATGCCCTAAGGCAAAAACCTCATTTAAAAAAAAAAAAAAAGAAAGAATTTCATGGGAAGCCAGCTGGTGGTGTGATGGTTAAGATGGTGAGATCCCACATGGCTGACTGCACAGTTCAAATCCCAACCCCCAATAGCTTAAGAAACAAGCCAGGAATAATGATTGGGGAAAACATAGAAAAGATATCGAATGTTGAAGCAGGGAGATTAATGTCTCTGTACTGACTGACATGCATGGCATTCCCTTTTGAAAAAGCAATGTAATACACTGTAAAGTTATATGTAATCCAACGTAATATAAAGAAGATTATGATGATAATAAAATTTTTTTAAAAAAAAGAAACAAGCCAGGAGCATGTGCATTCATGCCCAAAATCTCAAAAGGAAATAAAAATGAACAAGAGATTGCAGTGTGACCATGATCCATGGGGATGCTCTCTCTCTCTCTCTCTCTCTTTCTGGAGAGCACACATACCCTCTAATAAGTTACATAAAAAATTTCATGGGAGTATATGCTTTCAGTTATTTATTTTAGTAAATATGGCAATAAAAGAACACTAAATGTCTTCCTGATGACCTAGCCAAAGCTTATTCGGGCCAATGCAAACTTCAGAAAGAAGACACTGCTATTCTGAACCAGCCATCCTCATTTACAAACCACAGTAGGTAGGAAAGAATTCGAGGATGCACAACCTATAAAAGACATCCCATGGGTGAGGTTCTAATCAGTTCAGACATAGTCATCTTCTAGTTTAGTGCCAGTGGAATTACTTTAGAAAGCAAAAAGTTTCCATTCGAGTTGGTGTTCAGCTTGTCCCTTAGAACATTAGTCTGGTTTTTAAATTCAAGTTAAAAGAAACAACTGGGGCTGTTTTTCTTTTCTGAATTTTAACCTGTTGTTAGTGTAATGGCCTGTCCAGGCCTCAGCCTTAGGTTTCCTAGGTGTGTTCTTGCTTCACATGCGTTACAAACCCAGCGCTGCAGCCAGAGCTAGTGAGAGGCATGCAGAGAGGAGTGATGACAAGAGACTGGACAAGTGTGACACTGGATCTGGGCTGACTTCTCAACAGAGGGACAGCCAAATAAGAGGGAAAACACAATACGTCTACTGTCCTGCTTCAGTCGGAAAGATCAAAGATTGGAGCTCCTCCCCAGAAACCCTAAAACCCTCCCAGTAACTGCTAAGAAGCCTTTCTTGCAGAACCAGTGGGTGGTCTTAGCATCCCCCACCAGCTGGGTCGGGGTTGGGGGAGGAGCGGTTTGCAGTCTGAGGACTGGAATGCCCTCTGCCTGTTCAAGTGCTGCACACATTCCGTGAAACAAGTAAACGACGTGGTATGTGTGTTCTTCATCTATTTTAATGCTTCCAACAATCTAGTGGCTAATTAGCAATTTGCTGCCCACCAATATGCAAATGAATGACAAGCAAAGGTTCTCTGCATCTGTAATTATTTTGCTGATTTACAAGCCACTTTCCACTCTGTGTAGGTTTTTCTACGTGTGCATTCATGCATCAGGGATTTCATTATTTTTAGAAGCACACTGCCTTTTTAGGCTTTAATACTTTCATACTTCAGTTATTACAGTATTTTGGGGGAAATATGCATCTTCTCTCTCAAATCCAAACGCATTTATCAAGGGTTCTCTTCTCTGATAAAGAGTGGAGAGTAAAATGTATCAAGCGGCTGTAATCCAAATTGCAGAGAGTCAGAGCGCGAGATTGAAAGATACACATTTCGACTGCTGCCAAATCCTTATCTGGAATCGGAGTCTGGTAATATTTGATTTTCTCCCAAGCAGCTCTGGTGAATCGAGCCACGATCTGCCTTATCCATCTGCCTACTTTGGAGCAAGGCGTTTTACTATTTAGCGGTTTAAACGCTTTACTTTTTTTTTTTTTTTGCCCAGGCATTAAGAAAGGCACTCGTGTTAAATTAAGTCAATTAATAAATGGAGACACATTAAGCAATCAATTTTGTCAGCCTATCTCCCCAGCATTATGTATGGCTGGGTGTAATCACAAGATAAATGCAATGTGCTGATCTATGGTAATGTTCAATAATACATTCTCCGCCAGGCTCAATTCATCAGGGAGTTTCGGTAGGGGAGGCATTTGTTATTGGCTGTCTCTGCACCTCAAGGATAACATTTCTGTCCTTTTGATTGGCCGCCTCACTGCTGCAAGATTCTAACCGTCTTATTTTGATGATGAATATGAAGGCACGCTAAGCCGGACTGGAGCGGGGCGTCTCAGAGGCTGCGCTCCTTCAGAGCCCAAGGACTTACAGCTTCCTCCGCTGCTGCCTTTCTGTGCCAAGAACCCCCCAAAAGTTGTGATGCTTTTCTTTACCCAGTGCTTTGGGGCTGTGTTAGATCTCATTCACCTCCGGTTTCAGCACTACAAGGCTAAACGGGTTTTCTCCGCCGCTGGGCAACTTGTCTGCGTGGTCAACCCCACACACAACCTAAAGGTGAGTCGCTCTTGCGTTTGATCTTTGCCCGGCTCGGGTTCAAGTCCTTTCTCGGAAGGCGTCAGGGACCCTCTGGCGTGCGCGTGGAGCTCCCTGCAAGAGCCGGGTCCCTAGTGCCAGGACAGCGTTTGGTCCCCGTAGACGTTCGGCTGGGTCGCTCTCGCTCCGGCTCCTTTAGGTGGCTGGCTGCTAGAAGCGACCGTACCTTGTTTCCCTGCCTGGCAAGCAACGCTGGCGTGGTGGTTTAGTTTCTTCCCAGCCTGGGAGCGGGGTTGGGGCGAGGAGAAGTGAAGATGGTGAAAGTACAGAACGCCTCTCTCTATCTCTCTCCCAAATATTGATGAACGAGTGTTCAGGAAACAGGGTTTGAAAAGTTATCCCAATTGCTGTCTCTCCAGTGCGCTGGGGGAGGCGGTTAAGCACAGGGACTTCGGAAGCCGCTCTGGTGACAGCGGAAGTAGCTACGGAGCAGGGACTCGGGAGAGGCCGAGGGGGCATTTTCTGCAAAGTGTTCGTCCTGGTCTGTGGAGGGTGTGTGTGTGTGTGTGTGTGTGTGTGTGTGTGTGCACAAGCGGGAGTCTATGTGTGTGAGAGAGAGGAGAGAGAGAGAGAGGAGTTTGGTTTATTTCCCTCCTGCTAGCTAGCCGTGCCCGTTCCACCGAGGACAGGCGGGGACCTGCTTCGGTCCTAGAATAAGGAACACGGCTCTGGGCGGGCGGCCTGACGCCCGGGGGAGGAGGGTGCTGAGCTGCCCGAGGCTGCTTTCCCGCGGTCTGGCGCCGCTGCATCTGCATTTGTGCCTCTAGGTCAGTGCCCTTGAAGAGAACAGCCACAATCCGAGCTGCGGAAGGAACGCTAATAAGCGCCAGGGCCAGGACTGACGGGAAGAGCCGCAGGCTAGGACTTGGGGCAGCAGGGAGGAGGAGGCACCGGGCAGGGAATAGTGAGCGGCGCAGCTGGACGCCCCCAATGCCGCCTTGGCTTTGTCCTAAAACAGGACGTGGACTCCTTGGGAGTTGCTTCCCTGTCCTCACAATGCCCAAGAACTGAGCGACAAGGCAAGGGCCAGGTCTGCAGGGGGCGTGTGGGGCGGTCCTTGGGAGGAGATAGACCTGGCCTTCTGACCAGTTGGGGCAGGAGGAGTTGCTCTTTGCTATTCTTTATCAACTCCAGTGAATCCGCTGTCCTCGGCTGACCCTACAGGTCAGCGGAGAGTGCCCCCCCCCCCATTCTTGGAAGTCCCTAGGAAGGACTGCTGCCTGGAGTTCCTGGGCATATGCCAAGGCTGTGCGGGTGAATGGCATGGACTATTCTGGGACCTCCGTGGCGCCCTGGACCTGGGAATTGGCTTTCTGTGGTGCCCAAGCTGTGACCAATGCCATGTCACTCAACCGCTCACACTCGCTCTCACTCTCTCACTGTGTGCTCATTCCACTATTTTGTTGTTGCCTTTATGACTTAGTTTTATAAATGAGCATTCACTACGAGTCACCCTTGGCAAAGCAAGTGTACGGTATACATATTAAATATAACTCTGAATTCATTTTATGGCCACTTTTGAGTCTATATTCAAACTCCCATTATTTTGTCACTTTACATTAGCTGGTTCCCTGTGGCAAGAAATTTTGTTTACTCCTCTTTTGCATTTTAATACCTTTAAAATTGTTTATGAGACTTAGCATTTCTGAAGTTTGAATTTATATGGTTCATTGGCTATTGCTGATGGTCGTAGGGAAGAGAGGTGCGCTAAGGCCTCGGTGTAGGGAGAAGGGAAGCCTTGTATGATGTCCAGTAACATCTGACTGGAGGCTGACGACTAGCCCTGCTGCCCGACCCTGGAGTCCAGAGTCAGCTCTGGTCAGCTGTGTGACCTTGAATGGCTCAACCTCTCTGAGCCTTTCCTTCCTCACCTTCGACATGGACATGTAACCATGTGCCCTGCCTCTTTCACAGCTTCGTGAAGCTAAAAAATACCGGAAGAGACTGTGCTTTATAACTGTTCTCTTAAAAAGTAGAGAGGATGTGGGACCAGCAGTTAACGTAATGGCTATGTCACTGAACTCTCATGTAGTCAACTGCAGTTCGAGTCCCGGACCCAGTGACTTAAACTCACACCAGGCGCGTCTGAGCATGCCCAAGATCCTGAGAAGAGAATGGAGGAGAAGGGATTGCGGCATGGCCATCCTTCCTCGGGGGTGATTTCTTGCTTTCTGTCTCTCTGTCTCTGTCTTTATGGCAAGCGCACGCGCCCTATAGCAAAAGCCTCTCTGGAAAAATAAAGTAAAAAAATAAAAAATAAAAAGGATGCTATTGCCTATCATTTGTAGAGTTCTATTAAGTACTTCCAAAGTTGTCACTTACAGCCCTCAGGCGACTTAGAAGTCATATAAGCAGGAACATAAAAATACTGTCAGTGACATACGCTTCTAGAGGCTGTTTTCCATGGCTCCCTTTCCACATACACGCTCATTTGGCTTTTCGTTTCCCACAAGAAAGTACTTAGGGACTCTGCTCAGAGGAGCGGCGCCACAGGTAAAGCAAGCCGCGTGCTGCTGATGCTACCAGGGCCTGTGGCCTGGCGCAGGGACTCAGAGGACTACTTCAGGCAGGGACAGACCCCTGCAGCCCAGACGGCCTCTGGGGAGTCTGCCGCAGGCACCGTGTGCACAACTGGAGTCCAGGTGGCTCATCAGGTAAGTTTTACCCACTTCACAAATCTGAGGGCTAAGGGCCATTTGTACAGCTTTAAATTGTGTTAGTTAATGAACTAATTAATGTTTAAGGTCCATTCATTTATTCCAGGAGTGAGAGACAGTGGTAGGGTGGGGGTGGGAAAACAACACCTCCCAACAGGGTCCTGCTGCTGTCATCCACCCTCAGCTTCACCCAGCCCAGGTGGGCACGCATGTGTTTGACACGCTCGGGGAGATTTCCAGATTCGAGCCTGGAACCTTCCCAGGTGAGTCACAGAGCAGGGCTCTACCAGTGCAACATGGTCACCAGCGGGCCCCTGCAGAAGTACCCTTGCCCTACGGCTTATATTACAAAGTGTGTGAAACCTCCAAATAGGAAAAAAACAGACAAAACAAAACAAACAACAACAAAAAACAGATTCTCCTTCTAAGCATTCATTTCCATAAATAGACCAGGAGACTCTGTCTTGGATGTAATAAGCTGTGATCTATGGAGAAAGAAAAAAGTCCTCCTTTTTTAAAAGGGGGGGGGAGCAGTGGCAATGTTAACCCAGAATAGCTGCTGATGTGTGGTGCCTCTCCCACTTTGTATGACAGGCTAGTACAGGAAATGGTGACCAGCGACAGAGACTGCAAACTTGCTTTCAGTTTTCTCAGTTGCATGTAGGACAAAGAGGGCTGGGAAGCCTGTGTTGTTCTTTGTGGAAGCATTTTCGCACTTTATCCTTTCCTGGGCTTTCTCAGGAATTCGAACCGCATTTTAGAGCCTGAGGCAAGTGCTGGGTTATACTCAGAATTCACTTACTGAGCAGAGAGAATGTCTATTTCCCCTGCTTCTATAGGTCCCCTTCATTCTCAGTCTTAATGTGGTGATTACTCAGTAACCTGGGAGTTCTTCAAGTAAGCCAATGCTTTTCTTTTTAAATGGAAGGCAGAGCTTTCCCTAAACGGGCAGATACTCTGGTTAAAGCCTTTACACCCCTTATGCCCACCCTCATTACGATGCGTGTTTAGAGTAGCTGGCCTTGAACGTGAGAGACCTCAGCTCTCAGTGAGTGCCAGGCACGGGAGTGCAACTATTTCTGTGTCGGTCAGCCTGCCTGCAAAGATGGCTCCTTACAGATTAAGGCTCCACATAAGCCTCCACGCTTCTCCCCTGGACACCATGAGAAGTGGCCACCAAGGAGCCAGCTTTCCTGGCTGCTGAGTGCCCTCTGCTTCTTCATTCTCAGAAGTCACTGTGCTGTGTTCAGTAGGCTGGGGGGGGGGCACTGAGAAGAACCCCACTCCTGGTCCTGATTCAGCACTCCTTTCTTCCTCATGCCCTCTGCTTGTTTCCAAACCAAGGAAGCCTTTCTGTCCTGGCTGCTCTCCCACTGGCACTGGCTGCTGCTGCTTCTGTAATGTGCTGCCCTGCCATCTCTGTTCCACCCACAGAGGTGCCCTTCAAGGGGTGAAATGGCCTGCACGTCACTGTGCTGTTTTCAGTGGGCGGGGGGGGGGCACTGAGAAGAACCCCACTCCTGGTCCTGATTCAGCACTCCTTTCTTCCTCATGCCCTCTGCTTGTTTCCAAACCAAGGAAGCCTTTCTGTCCTGGCTGCTCTCCCACTGGCACTGGCTGCTGCTGCTTCTGTAATGTGCTGCCCTGCCATCTCTGTTCCACCCACAGAGGTGCCCTTCAAGGGGTGAAATGGCCTGCACCCAGGTTTCTGCAGGGAAGGGACTGTAGTGCCAGCCAGAACCCCTCTGGGGTTCCTTCTCAGCACTTCCCAAGGAGGCGATGCCAAGGCCGGCTGAGTGCCTTCTTCTTAACCACAGCCTTTGATAAACACATTTCTGAAAGAAACTTGCAAAATGCTTCCTGGCAAACACCTGCCAGGCCCTTGCTGATACTGCTACTCAGTGCCCCCACTGAGTCCCTGAGGTCTGCAGTGTCCTCGTCTGATGGACCATGTTGCCTCTCTTCTGGAGAGGGGAGGCTCGTCATGGCTCCGTGGGCCCTTCTCTGTTGTAGCCCACTGACTTTGAGTGACAACAGAAATGAGAGCGTGCATCCAGGCACACACGGGATTGGGGGGGAGCATATGGGACAACAACGGCTTTTCTTTATGGGACAATGATGACTTGAAGTGCTAGATATGAGCTCTAAAACTGGGGCATTTCAGTACCTTTCCTTGAAGCATCCACGTGCCTTTTGTTCTAAGAAAAACTTAGATGAACGTGTGGGTGATTGTATGCTGAGTGATGGTGGGGATGGTGGGGGGAGAAAGGAGGAGAGCTGTGAAATACACGGTAAAGCCAAACG